AAAGAATTCATGTTGATTTTGCTGGACCATTTTATGGCCATTATTTTCTACTAATTGTGGATGCCTACAGTAAATGGCCATAATTTTAACCATTTGGTCCAGCAAAATCAACATGAATTCTTTGCATAGGCCTTGAAGGATATTCCCAATGGTGAACTGGTGCTTTGGGTGATTCATGCTGTACTCGTTGACATCCCAAACAATTTAAAGTCATATTCTCAATGTCTGCATCATTTTAGGCCACCAAACATACGAACGAGCTAGTCCCTTCATGCGAACTATACCCACATGAGCCTCATGAAGTTCTTTCAAAAATTAATTCTTGCACGAAGTTGTTTGGGAATCACCACACGATTCCCTTTTAATAAGCATCCAAGCTGAATTGACCATTCTTGTTCGTTAGAAGACATCGGGTGATGGATTGGCTCCCCTCTGATTAGTGAGTTTCATAAGTTAAGTCTATCGACGGGATTTGTCTGAGTTTTCATTACCATGCTATCTCTAAAAATAGTGTTCTCGACTATAATATCGCGCTCAACGTACTAATTTTTATTTACCTTATGGCTACATTATTGATCATATTTGTAATAACCACTGTGAATCAGCATTATTTGACGTAGGGGTTGAGACCGTTATATTTAAATTTGTAAACTGTGTAAATTGGTGCACGGTTACGTGTGCCAGGTTCGCTAGTTTTTATTATTTATAAAACATATTTTAGTAATACCAACCAGCTTAAATTGCTTACAACAATTAATAACAAAACTTCAATGCTCTATCAATGAATTTGTACATTGCGAACACTATGTTTTCAGTTAAAGATGTATTACAGCAGTTCTAATTACATTAACCTATATGTTTTGGACTAAAAACCTTTAGTGAAATACCAGCTTTCGTTTGAGCTATTCATTATTTACCTAAAGCACACTGCTGACTCACGATTCAACAATAATTATAATCGTTTTAATACTTATCTGCAATCAATGATACGTAAATCAACATTTATTTCATTTTTATTTGTATTTTATTCCATTTATTTTGCTAGGTTAAACAGTAATATCACGAATTTAAGGATACACATTGCAAAGGAGTTTTTTCCCGAATTATTTTACTTCCGTGTTTTTTATTGTGAAGTGTCACACAGTTTAATGAAAGTCCATCCTAGTGAATGAGTAGCTGGTGTATTATTGAACTGTTGAACATTGACAGGTTTAATTATTAAGACACCAAGAGTTTGAGATATCAATCTTTGGTGGGATTCCTGTATTGTGTTTGGTGATTTCAGATAAACTGTGCCTAATTTACAATGAAAAAATGCATCGCATTTAGTAAAACAACAGCAAACATAAGAGCTAGTAATTCTTAAATTAAATTTACCAATTGAAAAAACAACTACTTAGAGATGGAGAACATTATCTCTGGTCTTGATCTACTGAAATACGAGTTAAAGGATTGAATATCGATTTTATTTATAAAAAAAAATAAGCGAAATAATTCATGATAAAATTGTTGTTGATTGTGTGAGTCTAACAGTAGAGGACGAAGATTATCTCAACTTGAACATAGTGCGTAGTATCTATGAGCAGAGGACTTGAAAAATTATATTTAAGTTTTGATATAATATCATACGATAATCAGGAAAAGAACCTGTATCCAAGAGAATAGTAAAAAGCTCACGCGCGCGCACTGTTTTAAGTATGTTGTGTACATTTGCGACTTTTCGGGTGCTTCATATTTGGCGCCAGAATGTGCCTTGTTGACCTTCATTATTTTTTTCTCACGCCCGTCCATAACGGATTTATAGTACATCCGCTTGACTAGTTACTGATATTTTAATTCACTCCACAAAATTCTGCCTTAGTACAGTATTTTGTTAACTCTAGACTTCTTTGATTCCTAACAGGACCAAACAGGTGAACAGGACAGTTAGGTGATAGGTCATACTGTCAATATACCTGATTATATAAAAGTAATATCGATAAATAAAATAAACTACAAATGTCATGTTTTATTTCCTGAACCACGAATAGGCAATAACAATACATTAAGAATAAGATAACAGCTGGCTGGAGTGTATGTAATGTATGTAACGCAACTGCAGGTTTGCTGCGGCGGGGGTATTTTCATTTTAAAACATATGTTTACGAAGTCTACAAAATTATTTTACTTTGTTTACATGTCTTCATATTTCAAGCGTATTATTGTGTTGAAGGAATGTTTAACAATCAATAGCCACTTTCACTAATTAATTATGGATTCAATATTAAATGGAAAACTCCTGCTTTGTTTTTATTTCAAAAACATTATAATGAGATGATATATTCTAAACGTTTCTGTTACACAAAATACAGTTAAAATACAGTTAAAATACAAAATACAGTTGAAGCATAGACATGAACATTTGACGCTTACTTTAGTGTTTAATCAATATTTTGTTTAAAGTGGAATGACCTCAACGGCTACTCTGGAACTAACCTGAGAATTAAACTAAAAAAGTTCGTAGAGACAATATATTTTTTCACTAAAGCAATTACTATGACAAGTTCCAGTGAGCGGGATTTATTAATTTTGTTTGGAGAAGGTTTTAACTAGGTACATTCTGTTTCAAAAAGGAAAAGGGGTTAAGATCATATAGACTAGCATGCATAGTATGAATAAAGTACAGGGCAAAACCTATAACAATAATATTTTGAGGTAGTTTCCTTTTCTTTATATGCATGTCAATGCTGGAGAAACGTAATTTCGTGATTGGTTTCGACAAATGGGTAATCAAACCCTAACCATGCACTGCAGTGGCAAAAATGTTAGTCGTGAGCCGTTGATTAGCTTTTTCAAATATAGATGAATATAAACTCGTTAAATGTTTTAAAATAAAATTATAATATATCAATTGAATATAACATGTAATACTATCTAACAACTAAATGGCTAAAGAGGATGAAGAAACAAATAAATAGGTATTGTAATGTGGTCTCAACCATGGTCTCAACTATGAACCCGCTGAACGTTTTAAATAGGCCTATTTCGATAGAATGTAAAGTCAATCGCACTTTTAGCAGGAATTCCACCACATAAACTTAGAATAAGAGTAGTTTCTATTTTTGTTTCTATTATTTGGACCAGAACCAAATCTAGGGTAAAGTTTAGTCAAAGGGATGCATTTACACTAATTTAGTTTACCTTAACGAAAGGAGAATAAAAGTAGAAATAATAACTGGGCCAGGTCGCTAATTCAGTGGGTTTTACCAAGAACTTAAATTATCTCCACATTTCACGAAGACAATTTCCGAAATTACAATCGGGAAAGCATTTATATCAAAAAATTTTGTTAACTATAGACTACCGGTAAGCATTAAAATGCACAAACATACGCCTGTAAATTAAGTTACCATTCTTCGTAATGTAATGACATATTTGATGTAATATAATGATGATTAAATGCTAGAAACTCAGTTTCTATATCCCGCAAACTGATGCTGAGCCGGCCAAACTCCTAGCGCCAATGCCGCGCCAAGCGATTTTAGGCCTATTTTTAATCGCTTAAAAATGATACAAGCAGGCTCCGTATCAAAAAAAGCTTCAAATAAAAAATAAAATTCATTCTTCGATCTAAAACTTTGCAGCAGGATTTTTTTTCCTGACCAAAAAATAAAAAAGTTCCTCGCTTACTACATTTTTCATGTTTTTTATGGTGTTAAAAAACAATCATCTGTTTTAATTTGCCTAAATAAATTATAACAATTATGTTAAGGTAAAAACTAGCTACATAGTAATGAGCACTGGTTTTTCCAGAAAAATAATATATCAATTTGAAATTTTTATGTTAACAAATAAGTGCAGCAGAGCAGGTTGAGTGAATGTATGTTTGTGTAAAACAGAGAGGTTCATTCGGCCCGTCCGCCTCGGTATCCCGATTGACTTATGGCAGAGACTGTACCGTTGGAGCTTATGAAACTTGGAGGTTATGAACCGCTCTGTTTATTTGATATTTAAAAGTTGGAGTTTGTGAAATTTGGACATTGTGAATCGGTGATTATTTGAAAATTATAGTTTTGGATTTTATGAAATTTGGAGGTTATGAAACGCACTGTTTATTTAATATATTATCGTTGGAGTTTGTGAAATTTGGACATTGTGAAACTGTGCTTATTTGGAAGTTATAGTTTTGGAGTTTATGAAGTTTGGAGGTTATGAAACGCACTGTTTATTTAATATTTTAGACGTTGGAGTTTGTGAAATTTGGACATTATGAACCTCACCCGAATTGTATAGACCACATGCCATAACTTACTCTATGTAATTTTATAACAATAAATTACCGGCTATAATAAAATACATAGATAAGCAAATGTACTGCCTTAGTGGATTTCTCATTCTTATGGAACAGCTGAAGCCAATTTTATTGTTATTTCTGCCGCTGTGAACTGTAGAGGTGATGTTTTGTTTATAATTTGTTTCTTGTTATTTCAGTTAGTTTCTTTTAAAACTTCGTTCAGCCATTAGCCAAATAAAACGATCTTATCATAAACAATAGCTTGTCCCGTAGTTATGTCAAACAGTATAGCGCAAATAATGAAATCAATCCTAAAATAATAGAAAAACAATTTCGTCGATACTAGCGGTCAGTGTCACCGGACATGAACTAAACACGAAAAACGAGCCTCAAAATTTACAATGGTATGAGAAGTCTACTTGTGTTATGAAAAAAGTCAGAATTCTGCATTAAAGTTTAGTAGGCATTCACTTCTGAGATTAAAGTCAAATTTAACAAGAGGGCGTTCCTCTTTATCAAATAATTAGAACAATGAGTTTTATGTTATTAAGTGTGAAGGTGAGAGGAGACCTGATTAATTTAATGGTTTTATTTCTATGGGGGAGCGTCAAGGTGCCACCACAAGGATAAAAACGTCAAAGAACTTTGGTTAGTCTCTATGGTATAACACAGAGAGCCATATAAAGTACATAGCATTACTCTATCTTTTGTAAGATCTTGTACCTACATTAGGAAATCTTGTACATTTTTCAGGGAAATTTAGTACAAAAAAGTGGTACCCCTGTGGACACACTGCATGTTCAGTTTTTCAGTTATCAACAAAAATACGTAACAAACAAGTAACTTATATTATATTATTATATTATTATTATACAATATTAATTAAGTTATTGTAAGTTAGTATAATCGATAGAAAGATTGTTTAGTTAGCTATAAATACTTAACAAACAAATAAGTTATTAATATTAATTAGCCTATTGTAAGTTAGTATAATTGTTAGGCTAGCAAGATTGTTTAGCCATGAATGATATTTTATATTTGCTTATCTTTTAATGATAAACAAATATTAATACTAAGTTACTTTTAAGTAGTTAGTATAACTCAAAGCGGTACGTACAGTTTCTTAACTGGGCTATGCTAATATCGATTTGATTAGTAGGCCTACCTTCAATCGATTTTTTCATTATCAAGTTTGATTGGTTAGGTTAGGTTATGACAGTTTCATTTTATATTTGATATAGTTTGAAATATTTAATTGATATTGGTTGCACTTTAGTTTGCATATGTGAGTAAATGTAGGACGTAAATTAAAATGCAGCCTCGATATTTTCAATTTGACTGTTTAAATCAATGATATTTAGCATAGGCCTAGCCCAGTTAAGAAACTGTCTTTTACCCCATTCTAATTCTTGGGTTAACATCCTTAAGACAAATTTTCTGTTCTGCCTATGTGATTTGTTTGCAATGAATTGGTTAGCTTATTTATGGGTTCATATGTAGGCCTACGGTGATGGTTCCATTGAATTTCTCGCCCCAAACATAGGGGGTGGGAGAGGTTTGGAATGTTTTACACCAAAAATAGGTGAAATACAAAGATTAGGGAGAAAATCTCTGTGAAAAATTCTCACTCCCCAGCTATTACACCTACCGCAACTAAAATAGCCTAAGTAATTTTGTTTTTTTCAGACTGTACTTCCATGGCAGTCGTTGAAGTTGACTGTAGGAATTTAAAAAATAATCCAAAATGTCCCCATGGTGAGTGTGTGAGTCCTAAGTTTGGTAAATCATGCCTTAAGTTATACATTCAAGGTACAATTATTCCAGACCTGTCGTGTCCAACAGTTTATTTAGTTTCCAAAAATTGGTAAATTAAACAGGAAAATAAATTACTCTTATAGGCCTAAGTTTCTATAACCTGCTTTTTTTACTTTTAAGTGAAATGGTGACCATTACTCGAAGGTACCGGTAGGTATTTTAAGCAAAGTATGAATGGAGATGAGTGGCACGATCTTGTAGTCTTGTTACTAGTGTATGTACAAAATTTGAGTTAATTTATCAATTAAAATCCATTTTAGCCACTGAGCTGTGATATTAATTAAAAATAGGTATTTACCTTCGTCTAAATCTCAAAATGTTGTAACTTTAGTTACGGTCGTTTCGGCATTAAATGCCATCGTCAGACGTGGAACATTCAGCTGAAGTAGCGTCGTCATAGTTAAAACACATAAAACTAACAACATTTTACAATTTCAATGAAAGTACAACGAAAAACAGGCCTGTTGCACACACGGTACCAGTTGACATTGCCGCGATCTAAACTGAATGCCGACTAGCTATTAGTCATAAATTAAAAATCAATGGTCACCATTTCATTGAAAAGTATTAAAGTTTATGAAAATGTATTTTAAATATGTTACTTTTTTATAACAGCAATCAATGTAGGTAAATCACATAGGCTAGCTCTTAAATCAACAATTTTACCATTTATTAGTACCTAGTTTTATTCACTTAATAACTGTTATAAACAAACATGATCTTGATAAGGTAAATCGGTATCGCACTAGATTCATTTTGCCTCGGAAACAAGTTTTAGACCCTATTAAATTGCTTAATTTGTGCACGGGTCCTATAATGTCTTAGTCATGGATGGACCTTTACAGGCCCAACATTAAAGTTTGTCAAGATCGACAAAGACCAGAAACAGGAGTTCTATGCCTGTTCAACATATCGGGACAGAAAGGACTGCAGCTTCTATCTACGGGTAGGAGACAAACTGACTGACAAGATCAAACAATTGTGGGACCAAGAGCGGAACAAGTTGCCAGTTGTAAACTATGAGCTGTTAGAAGAGAGGTAAGAAAACATAAAGGACTATGTTTGTAATACTTTATGTTTAACAAATAAATTTTGTTAAAAGTAAATTTATACAAACTTTTAACTGTTTGTGCTGTTTTTTTCTTGCCAAATAAAAAATGTCATAAAAGTCAGACGACAGGTGTATTTTGTAGATAAATCTGTATACTTCCACAGGGACATCACTTCGAAAAACCACTTTTATGGGTTTAGGTGGACCCTAAAACGGATATTACTACCCTACCCAAAACTCAAAAATGTTAACGAAAAAATATTTTCTCCTTATAGGCTATTAACCCTCCAAGTGTCCATAGTTTAGGCCTTAATGTCCACCTATTTTTGGCGCATTTGCAAGGTTTTATTAAAACGGATCTGAGAAGCTTAAAACAATGTTAATTCTAATGTTCTATATACCATTTTGTTTGGAAAATCATGGGCTTCAATATTATATATAAAACATAAAGAACATTTTTTCAAAAAAAAAATTTTTAGGTAAAAAAATATAATTTCAAAAATTTTCAAAAAAAATAATAAGTTCGCGCTCAATGAAATTGTATAAATTATAGGCCTATAAATATTTGAAAATAGCCACTTTGTTCTAAATTTTATGAGGATTACAAATATATAATAATATAAGGAAGTATATTTGCAAATAAATAAGTTATGGGCAAAAAACTGATTTCAGTACATAGCGTTTAGCTAAGAATGCATAGCCTAACCATAGCTAGGAATCTGGCTGATAATTTACATCAATATCACTACCTACTTCTTCAGGATCATCAACCAGCACTTCAAAACCACTTAAATCTTCTTATAATGCACCACGTATATCACTACTTTTGATTTTTAACACTAAAACAATGATAAACGTAATAAAACACATCAGTCATCGGTCCGGGGGAACCTAGCTGTTTACAAATACACGCACGTCAGCTGTCTGCTACAATATTTTCGGAACTAAAATGAATAGCGCTTAGAGACAGACCTCTGGAGAAAGCTTAGAATATTACGGAAAGAACGATACCTAACTCGATCCAGTTCAATCCGATTCAGTCAGTCATAGAGCCTTCGCCGTAAACGATGTCTGCGTGTCGAAAAATCGACAAGTAACACTACACAAAGTGTGCTGCTTGTCGAATTTTCGTCAAGTAACACTGGGAGGGTTAAGTATAGGGGGGAAAGTAAAAATTATTTGTTAGAAAAATCTGAATATGTTGAAAATTATTTATACATCCTCTGTAGTTGTGGTTATTTTCTATGTGTGGGCATCAACTTGGCCTCTCTACCCTCTCCCATCCCTGCCTTCAGTTCCTCTACCTTCACAATCTGACATCTTTCTCCTCTCATCTTTACATCCTTTGTCCTTATCTACCGCACTTACCTTCTTGTATGTATTTTTCTCTGTCACATTCGTTATACCCACCATCAACTCTGTGTATAGAGGATTTCTTTATTTTCACACGTCCAAAAGATCCTAGCCTTGCATTTACTATTCTAATATCTTTAACCACCCCTCTTCTAACCTTTATTCCAAACTCTACCCTATCCTTTTTTCTTCCAAGCCCTCGTAAAAATCTCATTTCTCCAACTTGGTGTCTGCCCATTGTCTTTCCTGTAAATTCCACACTTCAGCTCTATCAGAAACTATCAGCCTATTCATACTTTAGTTTGATACTTTATTCTCAGGTTACAAGAAGTCCGCAATGTTTTACCCAAGGAGAGACTTTATTGCCACTCTTGCAATGAGCTGGACCTTGCAGCCAGGAGAGATAATCATCAGTCACACCAAGTTCAAACAGTAATACCAGACACGATTCTCTCACATCCGTCAAAAGTATGTAGGCATGTACAAAACCTAACTTATATTTTCATTTGAATGTTATTTTCATAATTCTGAATGTATGGGACTACTTTTATCATTAAGTTAGCCTTCTTACTGATTGAGATCAGGTATTCTATGAGAAACTATTGTGTTAGTAAAAGTAGATGCAGATTTTGTTCTATAATTTTTTTTGTCATTATCTCAACTACCCTTTATTTTTTTTCAGTTTTCAATTTTTTTGTTTCTTATACATTCTGGTTTTACAGATTCTCAGGACAAAAGAAGGCAACAAAAAGGAGGCACAGTATCTGTTTTCATCAATTAGCACCAAGGTATTTGTACTACAATTATAGTACTAGAACCTATCAGATACAGCTCGTGACGTCTAAGGCCGATCGCTACTAGTGTCTAGTTCAAAAAGGCTGAAATGATTGCAGTCCAGTCCTTTCCTTACCTTCACCCTCCTCCCGCCTACACTGCCCTCGCTAGGCCAAATGCCAGCTTAGATGTCACGAGCTGTTCATAGCAGGCCTACCAATATAAAAATATATCTTACTAATATTATAAATCTGAAAGTTTGTGAGTTTGTGTGTGTGTTTGTGTGTGTGTGTGTGTGTTGCTCAATCACGCATAAACTACTGGACGGATTGGGCTGAAGTTTGGCATGATGATAGCTCACATTCCCGATTAACATTAAAGCATATTATTATCCCAAAAATCCTTTCGGGCTCCGCCCCAGTGGCTCTGTAGTTCCCCATGTTAACCTTATGGTTTTTCATATTTAAAAGGAATTAATGAATCTTAACAGCTGTTTTCAGTTAAACAAGTTATTCTGTTCTATGATGTTCAATAGCACAAAAGTTACAAGGATTACCAACAGGGTGCAGCACTATTATTATTTTTTTATTTATGACAACACCTAATTTGCAACCAAAAGGTGAGTGAGTGTAGCGAATGAACTTCAACCTGGAGGCGAGTTAGCGTAGCGAACGAGCTAACCTGAAGGCAAGTGAGCGCAGCGAACGAGCTCCAACCTAAAGGTGAGTGAGCGTAGCGAACGAACTTTAACCAGGACGTGAATGAGCCATGCGAATACTTATGAAGTAAAACGGGGCAAAGCCCGCGGGTACAGCTAGTATATATATATATCTACTAGCTGTACCCGCGGGCTTTGCCCCGTTAAATTTCTTAATTTTCAAGATGAGCTCGTTCGCCTGGCTCAATCACGTCCTGGTTGAAGTTCGTTCGCTACGCTCACTCACCTTTGGGTTGGAGCTCGTTCGCTGCGCTCACCTTGCCTTCAGGTTACCTCGTTCGCCCTACGCTAACTCGATCATAGAACAGAACCAACTTGTTTAATTGAAACAGCTGTTAAGATTCATTAATTCCTTTTAAATATGAAAAATCATAAGGTTAACATGGGAAACTCCAGAGCCACTGGGGCGGAGCCCGAGAGCCCGATCAGAATAAAAACTACTAGTTTTCCTATTTAATGCCAAAGAATCGGTGTACCGAATTTCAGCCTCCTAGGTAAATGGGAAGTGGGAGAATTAGTGATGAGTGAGTGTGTCAGTGAGTCAGTGAGGGCTTTGCCTTTTATAAGTATAGATTTCAGAAGTTATTTAAATTAAAATTATTTAGGCTACATGGTGAGTCCTCTCTCTATCATGTCCTATTTGTATGTTTTTACAAATTGAAATGTATCAATAAAGAAGTGTTTTACATTCTTTAAATTTGAATTATTTTTATTGCCTAGGTCTATATCACGCAATAACTCGCTAAAAAGATTTTATCATGCAGAGGTTTAATTCAGAGAAAATATATCTTCACAAATATTTTACTAATTTTTCTCAAATTTAAATAATGATTTGTCTGTTAAGGTGATTGTGGACAATCTACAGCGAGCGGATGTATCAAGAGTTTTGTGCATCGGAACTCCACGAATCCACGAACACATTCAAGCAATGAATAGCAGAATGGAATCACTTTTATTGGATACAGACCATAGATATGTGAGTAGAACTATTTAGCTGAAAAATGTATTGTACACATTGGTCATCAATCCTGTACATTCGAAATTATGAAGAAACCAGCATTAATAAGTTTTAAATCTATGCCACAGTCTAAACCTGTTCCGACTTAAGACTTAACTCTTTACTAAGAGATCTGAAATTGTATTAGAATTTAGATTAAAGAAAATAGATTAAAATTTCATACTAAGAACTCATTATGACGCCCACAAGATGCATTTTTTGAAAAGGCTCCCAACTTGGTGATTATGGAAAGTAAATAAAAGAAACGTCTTACAACACTTTAAAAACATATATTTACGCTTATACACTCCAACCGAAAAGACACCCCAATCGAAATCGATCACCACTTACCATCTTTTTTTGTATATTTACCGTCTTGTGAGTAACAGTATAAGCGTAAATAAATGTTTTAAGTGTTATATGGCGTTTCTTTTATTTATTTTCCGTTAATTTAATAACACGTACAATGCTGATCAAGAAGTTATTTAACTTGGTGATTGTTTCAGTTGTAGCAAGTTTTTGTACGTTTCTCTTTTGTCCATCAGTTAAATTACAATGGTAACAATAACAAAAATAGGCCTAGTTTGGAGATGTTTAATTATTCTAAGATTTTTTAAGAGCATTTTTAATTAGTTTCTTTTGATAACAATACAAATATTTTTTCCTTAACTACCTGAATTGCTTACAGAGATAGTTTTTAAAACCTAAAACTAAAGTATTAAGAATTGTCATTAATGAAGAAATGCTGTGATCATGGCAACATTCTGAACATCTCCCGTGGTCGACATCACCATCATCTCCTGTGGTCACCAAAACATTACAATTGTGTTCTATGATTGGTGAAAATCTTGAATATCTCACACAGTTGTGTAGACGTCTTCCTCGGTCACAGAAACATCATCATCGTAAGTGGTTGTGTAAATATCTTGAGTATCTGTTGCGGTCGTGAAGACATCACCATTGTCTCCCGCAGTTACGGGAATATAGTAATCATATATTAAATTCTATTTCAATCACTTGTTGAAATGTTTCAGCATTCGTTCTGGCCTGTGACAAGTTTGTGTGGTTCAATATGTTCAATCGATACTTCTACTCCTCTAGTCCCGAGCCGAAGAGAGTTTTGCGAAAGTTTCTGTCAGGTTTTGATCGAGGAGCGCTGGTCATTGATCCTCCGTTTGGTGGACACGTGACCCTTTAACCGCAACTATCAAACATTTCTCCAAACTCTACTCGAAAAAGAACCCTGAAAATGATCTGAAAGGTAAGTCTTATAGTCTAGTCTCCGAAAAATTCGATAACGTAGGGTGTTATTGATTGAAAAAAGGATTTAAAAATCATAAGCTACAATCAACATGGAAGTGTTAAATAAATATAGCCTATAAAGACGTTTTATTTCTTCTAATTTATTTTTCTACTTCTAGTGTATGTAGAGTCCTTTGTTAAACCATACTATCATTGTACTCAAGAAAAAAGGTGTTGCCTTTTAGATGCATCTTTTTTTACATCAGCAAGTTTTTCTGATCACTCTAGTTACATGGAGTTGTAACCTTTATAGTTACAATGAAAATTGCTGACAAGGTATTAACAATTATAATGTTCAACAGTGGTTTGGATTTTCCCATATTTCCGGGAGCGACATGTCACACAAAAGTTGCCTCACTTGAAGATGTTGGACTACAAAGTTGAGTACGACAATCACAGGGATTATAGTAAGTTCAAAAACTGCTTGAATGATAAAAATATGATATTATAGTTAAAAAAATAAGTTGTTGAGTATATGCAGCATTGGACAGTTGCGCTATCCAAATTTTTCCCCCAGAAAAATAACAGGAAAATCGAGGCAGAAGAGAGGAAAACGGCATTTAGGATATATTTGTATAAATTGTTTTATAATCAGCCAAGAAGTTTATTCTTAAATTAACTTAAAAGAAGACTTTGTTCATGACAAGTATCATCATTGCATAAAATCATGGTATTTTTTTTGTATTCTCATGTTTGTGGTTTTTGTAAGTTTATTACAAATACAAACAAACTTGTTAAAATTGATATTTTTATATGTAGGCCTTACTCCTACGTAAATATAGTTTTGAGAGTCAAATAATAATTTATGTAAGGCCTACCTATTGTTATCCACACTGCAAGTGTTTAGCAGTAGTTTACAAAACAGTTTTTTACAAACATTCAGTAAGGATTTTTGCTGAGACAACAATGATGCTTAGAAACAATGAATACAAACCCTTTAAGAAGCTAAATGCTTATGGAGAATAGTCAGACTGGAATTTTGCCGCCAAAATGTGCTTAGCGCAGCCGCCGCCAGGATCGCTCAGTGTGGCGGCCGCACTACTTTTTCTCTCTCTCTAAGCGAATTCTTTGTCTCATTCAGTCAGCTGACTTGGCCGCACGCTCGCGATAGTCTACCTAGTGGTCGCCGCGGGAACTATCAGAAATTCAAATATTTTCAGACTGTTTAACAAAGTGTGATTCTTAAAGGGATTGTATTCTTTGTTTCTAAGCATCATTGTTGTCTCAGCAAAAATCCTTACTGAATGTTTGTAAAAAACTGTATTGTAAACTACTGCTAAACACTTGCAGTGTGGATAACAATAGGTAGGCCTTACATAAAATAAATCTTTAAAATCTCCAGATTACCAGACAGCAATAAAGGCCGTCCACATAAAATTTGATCGATAGTTGGTATATTTATGCTGCAAAAATGTACAGAATTACAATCATTTTCAGGTTCGAAACGCAAGTTAGGATCACCCGCAAGGTTGTTTACCAACCTAGACCCGTCTCAGTTTGTTCTACCAGAATCTGAAGGCTACAGATTTTGTCAGCCTTGCTCAAAATGGGTTTCACCCGAAAACAACCATTGCAAGAAATGCAACGCATGCACTTCTAAGGTAATTTATCCAATGAAAAATTTAGATGGAATTTGATGGATGATTGTAGACATTTTCTATCACAAATACACATGTTTTCACTACGTTTTGGGATCTGGAACCTAACCTGGTTTCTGGCTCTAGCCGACTGTTTTGTATGTTGTTATAGAGTTTTCTGTGTGGTTTATTCAATGTGATTTTTCAGCTTTAGTTTGTTTATTAATCTTGTCATGTTTTAAATTCTTTCTCATTTGAGGACGTGCTAAAATTCCAGATCCCACAACGTTGTGAAATATAGTTTTTTACTCATCGTAATGGAAAATGTCTGCAATAATCCAGACGTTTGATTTATGAAGTTCCATGAAACCACCTTTAATGAAAATGAACTTCAAACGGAGTATAGTTTAAGTCCTCTTGTCTAATCTGATCCATTAACAATATCATTGACTATTGGATACTGCATTTAGAATCTGTTCCATCTGTCTCCAATAACATGACAAACTGCTTTACATGCTATGCTTGGATATTTCTCATCATACGATTAAAAACAAACAAGAACACAAATGAGAATATTGTTATAAAGGCAGCAGCTTTCCAGTTAGTTACAGTGTTGTGTAGTGGGTATGATTCTTTTTATATGTGTGAGGAGAAGATTTCTACCAGCTATTTATTACAAACTAGGACTATGAGAGCTTAGATTCTTCTTTTTGAAAGTGTTTAAATGTAAACTGTAAAGGAATGTAGAAAGAAACTAAATTCAAATTGTATTAGCTTTCTTATGTTCTGACTGCAAATACTTTTTTCAACCAAAAATGTATATTTTGTTTAGGCCTGTTTCAATGATTCGACCTTTGTTATAGGACGTCCACCCTTACGTAGTGAATAGTAGAATCCAGTATCGTAGAAAGTATCCACTCATCTGTTGTCAGCGGGTGGATTGCTCGTGCTAGTGCTATTTTTTTGTAATCAAACTAACATAAATTAAATTATTGTAAGCTATATACGACTCCCTGCAAGTCACCTTAGTTGGAAATGCTTTTAGACGCATCGGTTGAAACTGGACTCCAACATTGTATTATGGCCTACACGAAACCAAATGCAAGGTCGTGATGTGTTAACGAGTCTAACTGATTTATCTTTGACAGAATGGCCGAACGTACAAGCACTGTGATGAGTGTAGGAGATGTGTGAAGCCGCGATGGCAGCACTGCAACACATGTCGAGACTGTTTACCTGTAGATCACATCTGCGGTAGTCAGGTAAGTCAACATTTACTAAGCAGTTGTAAGAGTAGGCTTCGGCGCAGAGACAGACGGGCTCATGAGAACGGATTTTTTTGTACTGCACACAGCCGCAGGAGTCTGCAAGTAAACTGACTATCCCTTCCCATCCTTCACCTCGTGCTTTCACGACTTCGGTGGCTATGAAATAGCATACCGTGTTGTGCAACCATTTTTTTGAAAAATTATCATCCATAAGGTAAAGAAAAAACAGAAGTACTTGTGACATACGACATCATGGAGAGGAAATTTTAGTCCGTCCGTCTGTCTCTGAGCGTGCCCGCTTTCAGGCAGGATGGGTATCACTGATATAAAGATGTTTCTTTTAAATGAATCTGTCTGTGAAGGCTCCCTTCCAAAATCTGGTAGCAAGACCAAGACTAGAGTCCATTACCCAAAACGATTCTTTCCATAAGTGTGTGTTACTATTTATAAACTCACACCAATAAGTCCTCAATGATGCTAAAAATACATCTTATTCAATTTTGCACGTTTTCAATGACTGTCATGAACTTACAATACATAGTACATACTCTTTTGCAAAATATGTTAGTGTAAATTGTAAAATCAAAGCATTTGCCAAATGTAAATAAAGGGAATATAAAAACTTTAAAAAAATATACCCCTCTTGTAGATTACATAAAAGTTAATCAATGAAATTAATCCTATAAGCTTACGGATTTTTAGATCATAAATAAGGATTATTATGTACAAGGATAGGGATCAGCTAGCTGACCTGGTAAACAGAGTCCAGATTAGCCTTGGTAACACACATAACACAACACTGAAAACTTAATTTCGTCCAGTCTTCTTTCTTCTCCTTCCAGATGAAGTTCCTAAACTAGGACAAAATATTAAGTTTTCTGTTTTGCTCTGTTAAGCTCTGTCCATCCTTGTACATAATAATCCTAATCAGCCAATTGGCCATTCCTTAAATTCTAAGATAATAAATAAGACCTTTTATCAAATGGTCTTAGTTTTAAAAAATGTTTAGTTTTTTATACAATTATTATAGCCTTTAGAACAAACAGTGCAACTAGTGAGAAAAGTGAGCAATTGACTCACTCGAGAGAAATCCTTACTCACGAGCCGTAGGCGAGTGAGGAATGGTTTCTCGAGTGAGGCAATTGTACTTTGAACTCCAGTTGCACATTATACTTTTCCTACAGTTACCATAAAACAAAAACATTTGTGAAGAAACATAACCTATTTTTACACAGAAGTGAACTTTTAATATAACATTTAATGTGAAGTGACAAATACAACAGTACAACAGCTGACCAGCTGATTTACAGCCAGTGCTGCCAACGTATTTCGCCCGCATACGACGTTGCCTGCATGTTACGCGCTCACTATTTCGTGCCTTCACGTTGCAAATCTGGAGTGAGACAAAGTAATTAGAGTGATACAATGTTAACATTGTCTCACTGGTGAGCGAATTAGCCACTTTGCTTTCTCAAATCAGTGAGAGAACATGTACATTGTTAGGTAACTGTAGGTAGGAAAAATAAAATGTCTTGTTTTGTGTGCAGGTATTCCAGTCACCGAACGAAAACATAGAACCAAGACACAAAAGGATAAGAAAAATGAAAATGGTGATGAAGAACAAAAATAAAAAATAAATTAAAATCGTCTAAACACAATTTTGTTTTTTTACAATACCATTAGGCCTACCATTCGGACACTACAGTCACAAATTTCACAAATAATGACCTCGATTACAAAAATTACTGATGTGTACTCATGTGGGATGACAAAAAGACCAATCTACAAAGAATTTGATTTATTTAGAGTGAATAAAATAAACGTCGAAATTGTGATCCACATAACGGAACAGAAAGACTTAATAAATATAATATACATTGGTGCCGGGAATATTTACACGTTCAATCAGTAGAGACCGGAGGGAACTCTGAGTCATCGGTGAGGCGGAACCCGTCTTTGGGCGGCGAAGACGTGGCCAGGTTCATCTCGTGGAACTTCTCAGAGTCTGAAAACAGCCCAAGTGTTAAACACGAGAACACAATGAAAACATTGTTAAACACAATACAAAATATTACGTACAAATCCCTTCAGAAATAACAAGTTACTATAATAATACTATAATATAATACTATAATAAGAAATAATACGTTATATAAATGATCACAGCTAACATTATTGTTGAATCAAAATTTTCGGGAACTGTTTCATTGACCTGGCGAAAATACTGGCTGACGTTTTACACACGTTAAAAACGCATTCAAAACATCGGTCAGTTTTTTTGCCTATTAAATGGCGTTGTCATCTCCTAAAGATTTGGAGTCTATGGAAGCCAGTTTGGATAGCTTCTAATATAAACATTGTAACGTCTGAATTTTAAAAAAACCATCATTTTGTGAAACAAAAGTCGTCATTAGAATTTGTCTAATGTCAAGAAGAGCCTAGAAAGAAAATAAATTTGAAATTTAATCAAATACAATGTTAACATAAAGGGTGTTTCGAAACTCTCTCCCGATACTCAGTGGACATGTTCCTTAGGTAAAAATTGATGTTTTGGTTCTACTAAATAAGAACAACAGATTAAACTGAAATATACTAACTAGTTATTCCAATGGAGGTTAGTTCCTCAAATTGACTTGGTACATTTACCAATATGGTATACATAGTCTTGCTATTCAGTACAACGCAATGTACTGAATATGCCTCCTGAAGAATATGAAGAAATTTGTAAGTGCAAAAAAATTTTAAGTGTTACTTCAAAATAGTAAATTATGTTATTTTGTTTCCAATTGTGTACCACAATCACTCTAGATGGTTAAGTTTAAATATGTCCTTTGGGGTCCCTTAAGAGATCAGATTTTATTTGTTAGCTGCAAGTATAGGTTTTGCAAAGAGTTGCAAGTCGATAAGAGCTGTCATTGAGCAAAAATAGTTTGATTATTAGTCACATGGAATTAGCAAAAGAGACAAAATTCTATGTATCGGTAGTCCATTCATACTTGGCTTAAAATACCTACTTTGTATGGTTGCCATTTCATTGTAAAGTATTCAAGTATTACATGTCCTTATCAGACACTTTTTTATATTAGATCTTTTAATTAAGAAGTGCTTTATAGCTTTACATTATGTTAGAGTTATAACTTGAAACATTGAAATTATGGTGCTTACCTACATCACGGTCCTTAGTGACCCATAATTTTCAATAGCAAAAAAAGATTCTCGCTTAAAATAACATAGCTCCAAAAATTTTCTGTGATATTCGGCTTATGGAGAAGTGGTTAGTTAAATATTATTGATACAGTAGCAAAGAATTAAGTTTATCAGTTTGTTCCGTAAGTAAACTCTATTTCATTCCAGTGTGGGTAAAGGAGAGCCTCCTTAGTAAGAGGCACACTACACTTTATGGCTTGTGAAAGTTCTTATTCTGAACATAAAGAAATTTTTGTATGGCTTGTTAAATTAAGATAATGTAATTAAACAATTCCTGTTAAATATGCAAGGAGCATATTACCAGGTAGATAGTTATTGAACAAAAACAATTGAATCCAATGCTGTGTTAAGGATTTCTTCTGAAAGATCCTAAATACTTTTAATTTATCACAATTAGTGAAAAAAATAAAAAGAACATAATACCATCCATGGTCATTGATAATATAATCAAGTAAACAAATTATTAAATTAATTAGTCAGTTTATATTAGAACAGATAAAAATTCAATTATTTTCCAGGTAAAAAAATATTTTTTATCATCCATGTTTGAATATGAAAACCTGGCATGTCCTTATAACTAATATAACAATTGTAGAACTAGTGCAACATTCATTTTGACAAGCCAAAAAGCCAATTGGGATGACAGAAACCAATCAATTGTACAGAGAGTCAATTATCCCAGCTTTGTTCCAGGACTGATGTGAATAATCCAAAAACAAAAATTGAACTAATTTTTATTTAGAATCCTTATTACTGGAAGTAAGAATAGAGGACATAAATTTGGAACAATGAATTATGTTGTGTTGCAAGTACCCAAACAAAAAAATTGATCAACTGACAGTAGGATAATTGACTCTTCATCCTTCTCCTGTTTCCACGCAGGAAGGAAACGGAGCTTACTCCGGGAACAAGCTGGTAATCAACACATACTACCTGACATGTGGCCGGGCGAGTGTCCTTTGAGAATGCCCGCGTAGGAGGAGCTACACAGGCCTGGTAGACAACACAAACAAGAGTTGGCGGCAACATAACCTCACATGCATACATGCAACTAACTCTACTGGGTGTGTTGTGGGTGGATAGAAGTTTGCACTTCCGCTATCTGACTACTATATTTTTTAGGTTCAAATTTTATATTCAAAAATCTTGTTTAAGTTAGGATAGGTTAGGATATACGATATACGTATAAACTTCTGGTTGAAAGGTTAGCTTAATGCGATAAAAAAATTGAATAAAATTATATGGAGAAAAAAACACATTGTTTCGTAAAAACTCCTAAGTAATATTATTTTCAGAAATGAAATACATGTTCTGTACTGTGCAATATGATAAAGTCCACTTTATACAATCATAAAGTGTAATGAATCAAGTTATAACTCTAACATGAGTTGGCATGATTATTTTACTTGCTTAAACCCAAACGAAGCTCTTTGGACGCAACCACATCAGATACAACCTGGGTTACTAGATTCCCAAAAATATCGCTCAATAAACAAAGGATAACTTAGTTCCTCAGTGACAGCACTTATCAATTTGTTGAAAATAGAAAATAGAATACTTATTATTTCTTGTTTCAATGGGCACAGGTTACATGCACTCACCACTTACTCGCTCATGTGCATGTAACGTAACAATGTAGTTTTATCATATTCCCATCATTATTATTTTAGTACCCAATTTTGTTACAATTTTCCATAATAACTGGCAGTTATAATTAGGCCTATATCTAATTTTTATAATCTGAAAGAAATTCTTAAATGTTTAATAGGCCTACGATAGAAGAGTGGAAAAATTTATATTTCACTTTCAAGATTAAGAGGACAGGTAAAATTCCCTATACTTCAAACAATAATTTGAGACAGTTTGGGTTATTCCCCTTAAAAATACAACTACTTCTAGCTTAAGAGATAAATTGATACCCAAGTTTTGTCATTAATTTAAATCATATTAGTTTTAAAAATTAGCACTATGTTTCTAAAGAATATCTAAAATTTGGATATAAAGTAAAATTACACCAAACTACAATGGTTCCGAAACTAAATGTTAGTTAAAAATATTGAATCTAGTAACCAAGGTGATGAAGCAACTAAGATTACATCCAAGCATGTCTAGCCTATCACTCAGAAATCAGAATTTGATTATAGATGTTGGTGAATTAAATATTTCCTACGTCTAGTTAATACTATTCTGACAAACTTTAAAGGGGAGTTTTACGACCAAAATTAACGGTAGGCCCTACGTTTTTTTATTGAGACAGAATAGCGTTTCCAAATATGGTTAAATATTAGTATGAAAACAAATATAATTACATTTTGAAATTTTACTTGAAATATTACATGCCGGAACTTAAACACGATAGAATTTTTTTTTTTTTTGAGACTAGGAAAGTGTTTGCTACATTTGCAATAGCTGTTCCTTAACTGGGTGTATTTTATAATGTTTAACTAAGTTGTATGTGTTGGAAGCAGATCCAAGCTATCAGAAAAACTTGTAGTGAAGCGTTATGTTAAAGTAATGTATCAAAAAAACTGTAGAAGCAAACTTAAAAATTTACAACAATTTAATTAAACAAGAATTTTCTTCCCTAATGTTTCTGTTTTTTTTTTTTAAGTTCAAATAAAAAATTGGACTAAGATTTAGTTCCCGGTAAAAATGTCTGTTAGTAGTTACAAACAAAACAGCTGCCACCCAAACTAAACTACTCTACATCTGCACACACTGGATAAGTGACAAATGAAATAAAAACAAGAGATTTACACTTCACATGTAGTTTGGTAGGAAGTCTAAGCATGCATGGGAAAAACAGGGAAATAAGAAAACGCACCATAAAACCGTAAAACCTTTCCAATACTGCTGAGATCTGAGATTTTATTTTCTGACTTAGTGAACAGATGATAATCAACACACATGGTATGGTGACGTCAAAACAATTAGTATGCAATTGTTTATTTTGATTGTCTGAAAAATTTGTATACACTTGCAATTAATTGTGTTTACAAAAAAATTCAGCTGAGTTATAATTTTTCAGTTCTGACCATGTATTATAAAATATATTGCTAAACCAACGAGAATAATATCAAGATAGAATTTGATTTTGCCAAATACTACAGTTAGTTTCAACTATAAAACCGATACAAGACTGTACCAAGTAAGACCAGCTGGAAACAGTGCCCTCTTTATTATGTCCTAAGACTGCAAGAAAGATCACAAAAAAAATATTCTGGAAATTTTGATATAGATAAATTCCAGCAATTGGTCAATTTTATACAAAGTTAAGACGATTCTTATTCACATCGTCGAAATGACGAAAGTGTGCAAAATTAAAAGCAGTAGTTCTGAAATTTAAAATAAATCTAAAAACCTACTCGTAGTGAAAATGTTATGGTTTTTTTATTATTACTTAATTGGAAAATAGCTTAAGGATTTTTATATTTTTTTGGGAAATTTTTAT